GCTAAAAGGATTAGGATGTCTGGCCACCTACAGCGAGCGCCCTGTAAGCACCTAGGATGGATCTGCAGATTAATTTGGGGTTGGCGTGACAGCAGAACGCATTGAGGCTGGGGCTGTCCCGTGGCATCTTCAGTGTGAAGGGGGCTTTGGATAGGAAACGTGGGAGAACTTTGAAACAGTCTTTGGGCAGCTTTGGTTTTAGTGAAGTCCTTTTCGTGTTGTCTACCGTGTAATTTTGAGTAGCATCAGTGACTTGTCAGCACCAAACGTGCAGCGGGTTTACACGAGAACGTCCTTACTCCTAGCTTGTACGACATGCAGCTTGACGCTCCTATTGGCATGTTGGCCAAAGGGAGCGGAAAGCAAGGCAGGTCATGGAGACTTGTAGGAAGTAACAGAAGCGGGGAAGGGAGGGAATATGGACAAGGAGTGGGATGGGAAAGAAGGAAATAGCATCTCGAAAAGGAAACAATAGGGGAAACATAACGGAGATCCCTGGAGAAGTAGCTCTCTACTCTGAGCTACCAGCCGACAGACAAGGGAGTTAGCTTTCAAAGAAAGGGAACGGGGATCCCAAGAGAGGAGGGCGAGAAAATGAGCTAAAAGTGGAACTGCGGAAAACAAAGCGAGAGCGGCGGAGGAAAGGAGCCGCGGCAAATGATCCGTAGCTTGGGGGTCGGGGCGTTTTAGTACCTGTGGTCTCCCTGCTGCAGGGGCAAGCAACTGCGGTGAATTTTTTGCTAAATGAGATGGACTGCGATGCTTCTCCCACGCGTCTCTGCGTTGGGGGAGCACCGCTGTTGAGTTGGGCTCTTTGCCTGCATTTTGAAGGGGGACAGCCAGCCCTCCAATGATACAGATGGTCCTTAATATAAATGAGCATCTCTTTGTCTCGCAGCACTGGGGAGCCACAGCTCTTCCAGGTGCCTCCCATCCTGTCTTGGCTGTGCTCCCAAGCAAACTGGGGCCTCTTCTGATGCATGCTTGCGAACCCCTGGGGCCTGCTGAATGCTTGACTTCGGTGACTTTTTGAGCAGTTAATCCACCTGCGCTCAGATGGGTCTCCTCTCAGGCCTTGAGCACTACATCGCGGGGCACGGAGAGATTGCAGACTTCAATCCCACGAGCTAATTCTTCATGTCGGAGAGGTTGTCGGTAAATGTTCGGCGAAGCAGGAGATTGTGGTTTGTTACTTTCCATCAGGGCTGATGCTGGAAAGGCGGGTCTGAAGGATTGTCATGCATGGCTAATGGCACTTCTTAACGAGCACCCGTGAACAGAACAGAGGTCAGGGCGAGGGAGGTGCGGACAGCGGGTTACCTTGTACAGAGCCACGGCTGGTAAAAAGTTGGCACCGTCAGAGATGAACTTCCAACATGCCGAGCAACTCTCGGTGTCAGGTTGGTCACGGATGCTTGGCGCTCCTGCGGGAAGTGCCTGGACCCTTCCTTCATACGGGCATCTGAAAAGCTGCATGCGCCCATTAGCAATCGGGAGTGCAGGGACCTGTTGATTGGGAGTGCTGATTTTTGCTCGCTTAGAGAGCAGGAAGCATAATTTACCGTGGATGCTGCTGTGGGCATTCAGGATGTCCACCATTGGCATCTGGACGGTCCTAGCAGCGAGCAGCAGACCAACGTGCATGCATGTGTTGCATAGCATGGCAGCACAGGCAACAACCCTTCTCTGGTGAGGTCCCGTACGGAGGCTGGTTTAGTACCGTCCCCTGTTCTTCCGTTCACCCCAAAGGCACAACGACAGACGTTCTTCCCCTGTCGGGATAGCTGAACCAATAGGAGACGGCTGCTGGTGGTCCCGTCAACGTGCTGATGACTTAAGGAGTCAGCGTGGGACACTTCTAGCATTTACACGATTGGCCTCTGGCCTTGGGAAGCGGCGTCCTCCTCAGTGGGTGCGACATCCACCTCTTTTTTTTTTTTTGTTGTTGATGCAGAAAAAATGACTGAAAAATGTTGTTGGCCCAAAATCTCAATCTAAATGTCTTTACGCAGTCCTGACTTGAAAATGAGCTTCATCCACGTGCACACATTCAACAGGAAAGTGCTGAAATTCAATATTGCTGAAAGCCAGGGCGCTGGGGGACGAACCAGAGCGCTTGACAAGTTTGTCATGAACCATCTGCTTTGGGTTTTAGGATCTTATCGGGCCCCTCCATCTCCAACCTCTCTGGGCTTGCGTATAACCCATAGCTGCACCCATTGCATGGGTTCCCGGCTGTGTTGCTGGACTGCATGCAGAGGGCTGGAGGTGGGGGTCTGGACTTTGATAGCTCTTGGAGTCCCACAAAGATCGAAATGGGGCGAAATGCAAAAAAAAAAAGGGTGGCGCACGCTATCGTGCAGCGGCAGGAAACCACGGACCCTGGCGCCACGGGTTAACATCCCAGTGTGCTATTCCGGGCGCAGGAAGACATAGTAGCTGATAGGCACCTCTTATTTCCACCTCCTCCCCCTTTTGGATATGTGGCTCATCTCAGCTTTTGCGGAGGAGAGGCCAAACTTGGAAGGGATTCTGTTTTTCTTGGCATCTGGGACGAATGCTTCGAATTCTTCCCCCCACCCTTGGTTTTCCATGAAGTTACTGTTCAAACATGTTGTTTTACCTCTTGACATCTCGAGATGTCGGGCTTTGATATTTCCTGACGTTTCCTTCTAATCTCCAGCCCCAGATGGAACTGGAGCGTTGCCTTCCATGGCCGCGTGCTTTATTCTTGCTCATGGGTGTAGGGGTGGGAAGGGAAAGAGCCCAAAAGACACGCACGTGAGTGAGGCACCTACTCCGGTTGCCTTTCCAGGGCTGTCCGACTGCCTGTCATGCTGTTGCATATCTGCCTGCCTCAATGACTTAGCT